CTCATCTTTGTTAAAACATACACTCGCACATATATATATATATATACTTAACTCATCTTTGTTAAAACATACACTCGCACATATATATATATATATACTTAACTCATCTTTGTTAAAACATACACTCGCACATATATATATATATATACATAGCTCATCTTTGTTAAAACATACACCCACACTTACGCATATTATTATACACAACTTATCTTTGTGAAAATTTCAGAGTCGGAGGAGTCTCCACCGCGGTCTCGGAGACTTGGTGGTCCAGGTAGGCCTAGTTGTTGTTTTTTCGTTCACTTTGCCGTCCATTTCATACTGGCGTAGTGGGTGGTTGGCGGGTGCTCTGGTGTGGTTTGCCTTTTCTTTCCTATCAAACATATTATATCGTCCTTATCTCCCCTCCTTCTTTTTTTTATGTTTGTTACTCTCTTGTAACAACTCTAATCTCCTGGCGCTCATTTGACCTTATGCAGTTGCGAGCGCCGTAAAACCTCTACTAAAACTAAAAAACATTTCATACTGGTGTCAGTGGTGTAGCAGTCAAGCTGTTTGCCGTGGCACGCAGAGGTCCGGAATTTGATTCCAGTGTTGAGACATTTTTTTTTTCACCCATATGTGTGTCTGCTGAGATATTATAAACCCCCTGCCCGGGGCGGTGTTACTGACTGAAGTGTCTTTAGGCCATTCCCAAAGGGGGGACATTACCCATATTCTTATGCACAGTAGAATTGTAATTGTAAATTGGCTGATTCATCAATGTCACGCTCATAACTGTGCCTGAACTGCAACAAGGAACTGCTACTTTTTCTTTCCTAATCCTTACTATCGTCCTTTTTCCTCTACTTTTTTTGTATGTTTGTCACACTTTTGTGACCAGATATTTCCGGAAAGCCTTGATTGTCGAAGCAGACTTTGTGCTGTTTAAGCTAGAGAGGTGAGCAGAGTAAGTCTGATTCCCTGTAAGGACTTCTCTGTTGACATTCACCCCTTGGGGCTCATATAACCTTATGCAGTTGCGAGCGCCGTAAAATCTCTACTAATACAAGCAAGACATTATAATATGGTCGCTTTTAAGGACATACGGGCTAACCCCGATTTCAGGGGTTTCGAGAAATCTTGACCTACACCAGAAGTGGGCATTGCCCTACCTATAGGAGTAGTTTAGTTTCCTTGGTTTGTATATTTGTTTGGGAATAGAGAAAACTCTCCTTGTATTTTAAAGAAACTGAACAAGGGGCACAAACTTTTCCTTCGATTTTCTCAAAACATAATTTTTCGGGATAGCCCCCTCGTGCTTAAAAGCAACCGACCGTATTATTCCTCTCAGTCCAAGTTGGCCAGATACTCTCTCTCTCTCTCTCTCTCTCTCTCTCTCTCTCTCTCTCTCTCTCTCTCTATCTCTATCTCTCTCTCTTTCCCTCTCTCTGTCGCTCTCTCTCTCTCTGTGTCCTTATTTCTTTCTTTCCCCTATCTATCTGTCGATCGATCGGTCAGTCAGTTGTTCTGTCTGTCTGTCTGTCTGTCCGTCCGTCCATCCGTCTATCTATCTGTCTAACTGTCTATTGGTCTATCATTCTATCTAGTTACATACACACTTACACAGGCAAATGCATATTTCATGCATGTATATGTCCACCTGTCTACAAGTATTCACACATTCACCCCCACACATGCGTTCACTCATACTCACTCACAGATACACACACACACACACACACACACGCACACACACACACACACACACACACACACACACACACACTCACGTTCACTCATACACTCTCACAGACACC